CTCCAATATTTCGACTTATTTCGCAAAATTTATGTTGCCAACGCACTCCACTCTTCACAGTTGAGCCAAAACTCACTGTCCGAAAATTGAGCGAATCTTGATTCGTCCGACAACAATACGGTCTTCCAAAAGTCCAGAGGCTTGGTCATCATATCACTTGCCCACTTCTTTCGTCTGACTATGTTGGCAGGTCTTAATAAGGGCTTCCGTCTAGCTGCTCTGTAACGATAACCCAATCTGTGGAGAATCCGTTGAACAGATTTCGGCCTCATCCCACCAACTTTGGCCACTTCCGCAGTCGTTAATCTGGGATCCATTTCGATGCTCCTCTTGAAAGCCCTTTTTTGTCCTCTCCGATGGACCAGGACGGCCCGGACGCTGCTCAGTTGTTTCCTTGCCGTGTTTCCTGAACTGCACGATGCTTCTGTTGACTGTCGAAAGCGGGATTCTCAAATTCTGCGAAATTTGCCGCTGACTTATTCCACCATCTGCTTGACCAACTATCCTTCCTCAAACAAAATCTGAAAATTCGAGAGAACTTTGAGTTTTAGGCATGTTGTAGCACAAGATAATTAGTGTGCGGACCATTTTCATTTATATAGTGCTCTGTAAACACAAATTAGTTAGCATAAATCAGTTAAATGACGAAAAATTAGGTGTCTATTTACTTGTGACCACTCAGTGTACATCCATTCACTTTATCTTTGAAAAATATATTTACTCACCGTCTGCCAGTATTAATCTCCTCTCGCCAGTCTCACATGTTAACGACAATAAAAGTAAATAAAATAAGTTAGGCGGGTGCTCAAGCCCATAACACCTCACATCTAAATCATCCTTCACAGCCTGCAGAGAAGTGTGGGAAGACAACTGCTCTCCAAAGAAATATTAAAATAAAATAAAGTTACATCACTGGGTGTGTGTGTGTTTTACTCATGACAAAGCCATATCGGGCTATCTGCTGTATTCACAGAGGGGAATCGAACCATTGATTTTAGCGTTCTAAATACGTAGACTAACTGCTGTCCCACCGGGGGACTCCACTTAGGGTAAGCAATACAAACTTACCTTCTGACGTTGGCATTCTAGCCCCAATTATAGTAAGAAAATCCAAAATTCGAGTGAAATTGATGCATGTTACAAATTACAATATGGGTCCTACTTCCGCGGTCACCTCCAAACCCCGGGGCACATCTTATATCCTATTATACCCTATACCGCGGCGTATCTTTTAATCTATGCAAAGCCTTTCATGTAGTTTTGTGTTGTTTGGACCTGTTTTGTTTAGTCTTTCGTCACAGGTTTGGACTTGCTGTTTTTAAAACAGTCCTTACTTTTGATGTTAATCTTTGCTTGACTGTTCGAGTAGTAATTTCGTCACAGGTTTGGACTTGCTGTACTTAAACGGTCCTTACTTTTGATGTTAATCTTTGCTTGACTGTTCGAGTAGTAATTTCGTCACAGGTTTGGACTTGCTGTTTTTAAAACAGTCCTTACTTTTGATGTTAATCTTTGCTTGACTGTTCGAGTAGTAATTTCGTCACAGGTTTAGGACTTGCTGTTTTTAAAACAGTCCTTACTTTTGATGTTAATCTTTGCTTGACTGTTCGAGTAGTAATTTTCTATACATATGTATCGTGTGTTCCTTTTACATTTTCACCCGAATTTTCTTTATAACGACAACGAATTATTAATCATTAAAAGTTTTGACCTAATCTCGCTTTTGGCCTTTTGAGTTTATTTCCTTATCTGACAATAGTAACGAATAGTTACTAACCTGGATTGGCCTATCGCATAAACTTGTAACACGCAAAAGTCTAGTGTTACGACCAGCATTTAGTTCTAAATATTCAGAACTTTGAGGAAAAATTTTCCCTGGTGGCTGATTAATAACGGAGCCGTCACCTGCTACAGGAACACAAGATTCCATTTTCTACATAAACAAGAAATAAGAACAGTTGTTATAATTCACACAAAAAATAAGAAAATGGTAACAACAGACGGTGTTATAATTCACACAAGAAATATGAAAATTGTAATAACAGACGGTGAGTTGCTGTCTTTGAAAAGTGTGTTTGTCTTAATCTTTCAAAGAATTTCTGGACTGGATTATTTCTAAGAAAAACTTACAACTTAAGATATAGACAGAACTTTTTTAGCGATTCTAATTATCTCAAAGTAAAAAAAAAAACATTCCGCATGTATACATGTAATACAACATTGATAAATAACATCAGTGAATTAGGTTTGCTAAATAAAGCCAACAACAAATATATATCTCTCTTTCCCTTTAAATATGTACGACATGCAGCTAATTATTTGTGTTATTAAGTCAAGTATGTGGGAAGGGAGATCAGTGAGGAAGTGCGTGTCTGGGAAACTTCCTGATCATTAAGTATAACACGGGACTAGTTCCTACTACGAACAACACTACCTTTGACCGAATGATTAATCTTACATCTATCAAAAAGTTAACTTATGTTTAACGAACTTTCAGCTCAAATGTGGTCAGTTAAAATTAATATGGATGTACTTTCCATCATTCTAAATCTTATTAATTATCGGCGGAAGATTTGTGAGCAAGTATACACGTTTTTAGCGCAAAATCATACTGTATTTGTAACTATTTACCTCCGTACATAAAATACGTCTCTCTTTCTTGGTGATATGTTTGTTTGTTTGTAATTAAGCACAAAGCTACACAATGGGCTATCTGTGCTCTGCCCACCA